TCGTTTGAAAGACCGTAAACTTGTCTATCGAGAGGACCGAACCGGCCGGGGCCGATGGGATTCCAGCGTTGCCGCTCGACGACGTTCCCGTCGACGGAGATATCGCCGGAACCGAATCTCCTCTGACAGGATAATATTGCCTCGGTGTATGTTTCAAGAAGAATCCGCCGTCCTTGTTCTCGAAGTGGACCTCCACCGAGGCCGCCACGTCTGAAACGAGAAAGGAGAAACGTTCGAGTCAGCGAGGAAAAGCGCGCGATACGCGTTCAACAAATTGAATGAAAGATAAAAGGAATCGTCGGAAAGCGTTGGGAAGAGCGGAGAAACGAGCGAGCAGCGCGTGAGATAAGCGAAACGGAGCGCAGGCCGAATTGGCCTCACCTTTCCACGCGTTTTCCTCTATTCTACGGAAGAGGGTGTGCGGGCAGCTGGCGCTTAACGGAGGATTTCCCTGGAAATTTATGTCCGGATCGAGCGCAGCCGCGCCACACTACACCATGCTACGCCACACCATGCCACGCCTCACCTCGTCGATTTACAACCTCTCCGTTCACCTGTGTAGACTCTCGAACGCGCCTAAGTACGGCAACTTTGTTTCAGCTGGGGAAATTCCCAAACTATGCCTTATCGAGGGCGCTTCCGTGACTCTCGATCAGCCGGCGAAACGAATTCTTCGATTTATCGAACGGGGCCGCGGGAAAAGTAACGTCCTATCGAGGAAATCGTTGATATTTCTACACGACTTTCCACTCGAACTTCTATCTGGGACATTTTTATCGAGACAGCATCCGAGTTGAAGCGTGTTCCCTCGTGTAATAAGTTGAACAACGCGAAATTCCAAACAAAATCCAGTGAAACGGATACTCGGAATTCAGTCCTTTTCGTGTTTCCTGTATACGTGTATCGAGCTCGAGCGCTTTGCGTCGTGTTCGTTTCTATGTTAATGCCACGCGACCGATAAATTTCGAAAATTGCTCGGATGTAATGGAAGTGCTCGTCGCTTCGTGGATTTATTAAGGCGTTAAGGAAAACACGCGGCATTTCGTGTTGAATTAATTTCGACCGCTTACGCGTCGACGACTGGAATAATTTAATTCGTGGAAACTTTCCTTCTTCCGTGTGCGAGATCTATTCGAATACGACTTAGAGCCGACTCTAATTAGCTATCTAAGTACTCTTATAGGTTAATCCGCTAACGATTCCCTCTCTCTCTTTCCCTATCGCTACATTGTTTCGCTTTACGAAGAGGAGCTTGCTCGGTTATTGGACAATGATTTTACTTGTTCCAACGCAAAACGTGTTTATTATTCACGATTTTATTGGAGGTACTAGTACATTGTCTCTGGCGATCGATGATGCTCGTATATTTCGCGATCGACGCAGCTCTCCAGGCTCCACAGCGAATTCAATTCCACGGACGCACGTCGAACCACTGGTATTTCTTTGGTTGGCTCGTGTCCAGTTCGTACTCCAGACAAGTCTTAAAACTGTTGGGAATCATTAAAGTTGTCTGTTCCAAACGATTCATGCTCGAACGTTACGAGAAGAAATCGTGAGTACGATAACGCGAAAGTGCGGTTAATATCGCGTTTAACTGAGCACACTTACAATATGCCGGTCGTGCGTTTGCATTTCACGATCGGATAATCGTTGCGGAAACACTGGGTGCTTAGACCGCTGAAGTACATGTATCCCACCGTACCACCTATGCCATCTTTGGAACGGTGAAGACAATCGTAGAATTTGTCGTCGCATTCGCAACTTAGCCTGTTGAACAGATTACCGTTGCTTTCCTTCGTTAACGCGCAACACTTTATCTGATTCCATTTACGCGTTACTTCGCGACACGCGTTCAGGCAGCAGTTGTCGACGATTAATTCTAATATTTTTACGATGCTCGATATTCGTCGTCTTAAGAATTTAAGAGTAGCGTACAACTGACGGGACTTGCTTCTAATCGCGCGCCATTTCTCACCCGACATTAAACACCAAGTCGAGAAAAAGTTCCGTGTGGGCGTTCACGCGAACCTGACATTACCGCGATCGTTAACGTTCCGCCTCGAAATGTTCGCGTGCTACGACAAAAGTTGGATCGTTCAACGGCCTGCACGCGGTTGCGTCAGACTTCAAAACCATCGACCCCTTTGCCCGAGACGGAAAGGGTATATCGAACGAGGTAAAAGGTCATTCATCGAAGAAAGAAGTGGTTCACCCTCCCGAAAATTATGTAACATCGAAAAATTATAGCCACCGTTCGGAGTACGCGTTCGGGAAACTTGGACAAACACGGGAACAACGAAGAAAAAAATAAAATTTGGAAGGAACCTCGTGTAGTAAGCGCTATTGGTCAATCCGTGTTTGCTCTGTCTAGCCTCGATTATGTCTGGGCACATATCGTGCTCTCGACAGCACGCGTCCGTTTCATTCTTTTTCCCTAGCTCGTTCGGATTCGATGCCTTGTTACCGCTACCGCACCATAAAGTCCCTGCCGGAAAAAGGATTCAGTACAAACCTCCTAATGAAAGGCCTACGTGGTATCATCTCCGTTACACGAATCTTTTCTTGCCCTCGTTCTTCTCTTACCTGGGAATATTACCTGTATTCTTTCCATTATTTCCTCGTTGCCCATTCTGTTCGTGACCCTATACATCGACCACGCGTGTACGTAGACATCGTGACAAAGGCAGAGAACGAGAATCGACGCGAATCTCGGAAGCAGCATCGTTTCCGCGAAGAGAAGACGAAATGGAACGAAGCAAGTTCTTCTAAGAAAAAACAGCGGAAAGCACGAGGAAAACGGTTCCTTCGCGTCGCAGCAGCGATGTTCGCGGAACGAGCACCCACCTTGTTTTTTCTTTGGCTTATATGAAAAAGCTTTGCCCCCCAGTTTCGTCTAATCGCGAAAATTATGGTTGGCGCACAAAATGGGCGATCGTTGCGTTCATAGGGATAATCGTGCGACAAGAAACGAGCCACGGAAAAACAAGTCCGGAAACGGACTACCTGACGCATCGAATCCAACGAATCCGCGCCGCTCCACCAACGGCTTGCTCCCTGGAACGCGCATAAATTTAACGACTGGTCGTCGAAGTAATTTATGCGCCGGTTTAAAGGGTAAACATCGTGTGTACCCGCGCACGCGTTTCCATCGGTTTAATAACTTTTCGTGACGCGAAATAAAACGCGTCGATGTTTTATCGCCGCACGATGTTGCTACCACACGTGTATTTTAATGATCTTCGCCGTGCAAATCGCTCGTTAGTTGGAATAATGGATGAACAGAGGGGTAGAGGGTGAAACGGTTCGTGGTATCGGGCTTCTGATAAATAGACGCGTCCAAGCAACACGTGTCTCTTTTAGACGTCGCGTCGTTCTTTTACACCAGAAATTCAAGAGACAGACAAATGGTATCGAGCAGGGTTCTCGGTGGTCAGGGTGTTAAGAAAGTAATGGCGACGGGATCCGGAGGTGAACCCTGCTGATACTTCTTAACGTAGAGACGAATGTTTCCGACGAAATGTCGGATTTCGATTCGAGGATTAAATCATAAAAATTATTACGGTCGATAAAACCTGTATGAAGAACTACGGTGATAGAAAAGAAACAAAAAACTGCAGTTTTGCAGCGAACGTCAAAGAATCTTATCGTTGATCGAGTTCGAAGATGTCGGACATTTATTGCGCGGAGCAGATTAAAATTCCGCCTACGTTTCCAAATATTTTAAAACTGTACATGAAAGCGGCCATTCGTACACAGCCATACGATCTTCTGCGATGGACCAGCGCTTACTTCCGAGCCCTCGCGAACGACGAAGTGCCACCTGTGAAAGTAAGTACAGCAAGACCCAGTTTAACCCTATTTCAATGTACACCGATCAAACGTATATTCCTTAAACAACTTAGACTTTGGAATCTCTGTTTGTTAACCGGCTGGAAGGAAGACGATGTACTTACACTTTCGACCCTCTGTTTGCTATGGGAATTTGGAAATTGTTCGCTTTGATATCAGATACTCTTTCGAACATGTTCTTCTATAAATTCATTCGAAACGACAACCAACAGAACATAAAAAGATTTTTATAGTCGAGGATAATCGGCTACCGTCGAAATAAATGGCAAGAGATGTTTATTTACCGAATCCCAAGCGATCGAATCGCGATTGACTACGCAATAGACGTCGCAACAAAAGGTCGAACGTCTCTTTAGAAGATCTTTTGAACTGTGTAACTCGTTTGGCATAAAGTCGTGCAGAAAATTCGTCGAACACGTTCAGCCTCGCGCCCCTTTGTCTCGTTCGAGATTCGAGTCGAGCGTATCGCTGACGTGTCTTTTTTCGCGTCCCTATTATCTTACAAAGGGTTGATTAAAGTCGGTAAATTAAAGCGTAGTTCACTTACTCGACTTTGTTCTCTCGTTCGAGCGTCGCCGTTAGCCGTAATCTTTTCTATTACTTCCATTGTACGTTCTATATATTTTATCTGGTCCCATTCGTGATCCGTAATTAAGTGGATAGATAAATGAATGAATCCACTGGCTGAATTTAATTATTCGAACCTCCGGTTAATGGCATCGGTCGGTTTACGCCTTCCGAGTCCGTTTCATCGTCCTTGGTCAATCGGCGTTCCTCCATTCGAGATCGTATTAAATAAATTACGCGACGTTCGAAGAAACCTATCTCGCGATTTTCGAAGGTGATTAAGAATTTCGCACCTGGAACACGATCAATTTTCAATGGTTACCGGTCGTACTGTCGCGTAACCATCTCGAATCGTAGTCGAACCGCAAACTGTACGGTTAGCCGATTAAACTGGAAGAAAACGATTAAATCGGTTAGATCGCGATAAATTAATTCGTTCCGACCAGTCTGGATGCACCACTTTTGGTTAGACTTTTGTCTCGTCGATACATTATGAAACGGGAGATTCAAGAGCCTTGAACTATCGGATTCTCCTATTTTTCTGGCTGTCTTTCGAAGGATTTTTCATTCCCCGGAACAGCAATAGCAACCTCGAACCGACGTAAAACGCTTGTCCGTGACCTGATACGGTACTCGAAGGATTGTATAGGGCGAAACTGTCGACGATATTTTCCTATGCTCTATTCCGATATTCGGGGAGTTCCCGTTTCGAATAAACCGTGTAGACACGTCGACTGGCGCTTCGAAAACGACGATGCATAGTACAATGTTTTGAGAATGGCGCGGTCGTTTAATTTTTCAATTTAACCTGCAAGAGTCGGCGCTATACGGAAACGTTAATTATACTACATAAATTGTAAGGTAAATTTAATTTTCCAGACATTCTTTGTAGTTGCAAGACTCGACATTACTGGGTAAAAATTAGAATTTCTTTCTGTATCGTAAAAATGTTACGATTCCGGTAGAAGATAAAAATCCGATCAGACTGGACAGTTCGGAATCGGGCACAGGGTTAAACAACAAACTTGACGTCATTAAATCGTTGAACGTTATCCATGACCTAAGCTATAGGAATCGAAACGAGCGATGACCGTGAATTGTTACCCTATCCTTCTTTCCATAGAAACGATTGGAGTACCCTCCCTTCAGTCACCCTACTGGTATCACGCCTGGCTACCTGAAGACCCTTTTGAACGTGTTCGGTCGCGTGGAGACAATCTGCCTGGCGAGTTTGCTGTCGAGGTGGCAAGGCATCGCGCTGTCCGAATCGATCCTGTTCCAGATTTTATCGGTGGGCAATCTCCTGCCCGCCAGAGAATGCCACTTTTACAAATTTCTCGCGATCGCTTGCGGATTCCTGGGCAAGGTAAGTCGTCTGTCACGAAAATAGAAACTTTGTCGCGCGGTATAGCTAAAATAGAACGTGCCTATACGAGTTCTTCGTTGCCCTTCACTGGCTGATCTTTATCGTATCGTACCAAAGGATATTTTTAGAAGCTTCTGTTAATCGATTCGGTACGGGTGCAGACCAGTTTAGAGCGTGATCGATAAACGAGAAGTACGTTTTGTCGCGTGAACGCGTAAACAGGACGGGGTATAAACGTTTTTGGACCCTGTAAACGATTAGTCGAGGTCGAGACAGCAAAATCGCATGGTATTCTAAACAATGATCCCCTCGACTTCCTCTGTCGGCAAGAATTCGATCGTCGAGAGCGTAACAGATGGAAACAATTCGTTCTTTGTTTCGGACCGCTCCGATTTACAAGGGGTCACCAGCGAGACAAAACATTCGTCTAATTGATCGTTTTTCTTATCGATCGAAAGAACGTTTCATTTCACGTATTTTCATTAGTCGGTGTAGAGAATGTACAAACAACCAACGAGACGATTCGCGAGATATTTCGCATTTTTATACCGAACTGGATTACCTTCGTCTCCGTTTTATTAATCGGAAACATTTCAAAGGTTATCCCGTACGGTCGCGTTTACCGTTCAGTCCGGGCCTGGCGCATTAACGTTCCTCCGGGATGTATTTAATTCATGAACTCGTAATAGGAATCGATGAATCATCGTTACCGGTTGAATTAAATTAATCACCGGCCATTGTTGCCGGCTACGATTCGTTCGCCGATTCACATGCACCCCTTCGTACCCCAATCCGCACAGAACCTGCTCGAAACGATGGTGTACGTGTGCGAATTGCTGACGGAAGAACCAGAAGGTGGTTCCGCGATGATACCTCTGACGACTTTCCTCAACCTTTACGTGTTCCTGGCCGAGCTGGATTGCAGCGGTCAATGTATCTGTGCTCCACCGGCGCGGAAGGATACGGAGGAGCTTTTTCGTCCTTGCGGATCTAGCCTCGATTCCGATCGGTCCAGTGTGCTCGATTCGAAATTATTCCGGACGTCGTCCACCGTGCTTGAAGAGGTACTATAAATTTCTTTTTTGTTTTTAAATCCATTTAACGCTACACCGTTTAACTCTTTAGCTAAAAGCGACTACATCGTTGGAATGTGTAGGCCATTAGGTCGATCCAAATACTACGATACGCTCTTGACCCTTTCGCGGCGTATTCGTCATCGAAAATTCAGATTAAATGTGCGTGCGCTGCTTAAATACTAAATTAGGAAAGAACCCCTACAAGGTAGTAGTAAGCGTGATAGGGAGATCGACTATAAAATGCAAACCGAATCACCCTCCCCGGAGGGTAATGTCCCCTTTTTCTCGTGGATTCGTAACATGTAGAGACGCAAAAAAAAACGATCATGTTCTCTGATGTACGAGGATTACTATTTCCGGGAATAAACCGTGTCCTAAATACCGGCGAACGCAGGATATTCAACCTTTCGGTTATAATTTATGGTAGCCTCTAATAGCAAAAAAAAGAAAAATTAACGAGTTTTCCAGTGAAAAGAAAAACAGAAAGAGGAAATGCAGCCACCGTGTTTATTCGAGTAATGAAATTAGTATCCTCGTTAGTAGCCCCGTGTCGTTCTGTGTTGGATCGACGTTGATAACGAAAGGGTTAAAAAGAGGTGAATTGTACGATCTCGCGAACCATTCAACCCGTATTAGCTTATTCGGAGCGGCGAATGATTTTTCGGGTGATCCCGACTTTTGTCCAACGATTAATGGAACGGAAAAGGCTGCGAGAGACCCGCGTGGAGTACTCTCACCCCGGCGATGATCAAATATAATTTCGTTAATAACGCACCGATGCAAATGGAATCGCGCGCAATCGAAACACGCGAGGGTCGAGTCGGGGAGGACAGGAAATAATTACTGGACGCGTCGAACGCGCTATTTCCCGCGTTTCAGAGCATTGGAAACTCGCTTTGGAGCATACGCGAGGAAACAGGAACGCGATGGACAAATTTACAGAAGCCCGCTTCGATTGTAGCATATTCTAACGGCCGGATTGGTTGACTTTGTCTCTGTTAAAATCGATCGTGCAACGCGTCGATATCGCTGACGTACAAAAGTGTCGATTACCTGAGAATTAACCTCGATTACCTATGATCGTCAAAGACACGAAAACCGCGTCTAGCAAATTTTCGCGTCACAATCAACAGCTCGCTGAGCTATTATTCCTAACTGTTCCACCCTGAACATACACGTATTTTTCATTGGAGTTGTCGGTCAGGCGGAAGACACCGGTCATAAGGATATTTGCGGACTTTCCGTGAGCCAAGACAGTCGATCATCGGAGACGTTGCTAGTTCTTAAGGAATTCGGAATTGATGCGAGGAAGTCGGAAATTGATGAACTGCATCAAGAAAGGCTACAGCAACAGCTTCCTCCGGAGGGAGGCGAGATCGAAACTCGGCCGATCGATCAAGAACATCGGGAGAAAAACGAGGTTCGTAAATAAACGGAACAGTTTTCGGCGATACGGTCTTGCCGAAACTTTTTGAAAAATACCATACAAGCCGCGTAATCTCTTGTTCGAGGAACGTTGAAAATATAATCCCTTTCAGTTAGAAAAGAGCCACCCCGACTCTCATCGTATTGATCAGCCTGATTACCATCCATCGGCCGATCAACAGGACGACCACGATTTTCCTTTCTACGACATGGACGATATCTACGACAGAGACAAGGATTCGTCCATCAGTTACGGCGAAGAGGGAAGCGCAGAGGAAACGGTGTCGTCTGATCGCCTGTACGACGACTACGAACCTATCGGCCTCAAAGATATTCTTCAGGGTATATGCGAGTGTCTGCAGCCGGTTCCAGAAATCGTACGCGCCCCTACGCCGCCACCACCGGACCCTGTCGAAGAGTTCTTGAAAAGAATGAAAACGGAAGTAGAGGAAGGCCGCCTGCAGACGGTTATTAAAGTGCCTGGGATCGGTCCACGGGTGTCCGTGAATCGCATCACCGCTGTCGGAGTGTGGCTGGCGGATTGTGGTCGTCGCCAGGAAGGAATGGTTGGACCCCGGAACATCACGCACTTTTTATGTCCGGAACTCGAGGATACTCCGAACGATGATATTTCCGATTACGATTGATACCGCATCGTGTTACCGAGTTTAATTCATTATAGTTTAATGATTGATCTCGAAGCACTAGTATCGTATCCCAAGTGCTTCGTATCATATTCGATACAGTGTTTGATATCATTACTTTCACTTCGGACGGTCAAAATTACAGATTCTCTGTGGGATAATAAATCGATAAATCCACTACTATTCTGGATAAGCGATTGAAAATTGATATTCCCTAATGGACAATGTTATAGTTAATTTATCGTTTGTTCCAACGAAGATTCGATTATTTTGCTTAAAGGGTACTAATGAAACGTTTAAAAAGGCACTTTTACCGAGCTTTAATCTTCAAATTGGTATATCATGAGCGGTATTTTCCGATACTTTTCCGTCACTGAGTCGCGACGAGAAAATGATAGATAATCGTTTAATAAGAAAGTAAGGAAATACTTTGATCGTGTCTGAAGTATAACTCAGCGATTACGACACGATGAAAAATGAGCCGAGCAAATAATGGCTTTCGCTTTTGCAACATCCTGTACACGCGCTGCTTTATTCGCTGCACTTGCACGGATCTCGTTCGGGTGCATAATGAATCAGTGGCGTTCGACTCTCCCAGGGAGTGGATGGTTGCAACCCCCTACAGCGTGTGTTTTCTTCTCTCTCTTCCTGTGTCTCTGTTTCTCCCTCTGGTCGCCTTCGTGGAGGACACGGGACCCATGATAAAGTCGTCCTTCTCCCACTGGCTGACTAACTCTGCCGTAATGGCCGGGAATAGTTTCCAATCGATCGATCGGGACGAGTGCCTCTTCAGTCGGCGTCGAGTACGGAAAAAGGACCACCTCTACATAGACGGCGACACCGCACCGTCCCGAATATATACGACACGGACGTTCCTTCATTTCGTTCGCATGAATATCGAAAGCCGGGCTCGACCGGAAGCAATTCCAGCATCCCCCGGGGAATGGCCTTGGCATCATAGCTACCCAGGATCAACCGCGACGAGCGAATCCATCGAATTCGTTGGCGAATCGGGAAAATAATCAGCGTCATCGAACCACCATCCATCGTTGCGCTTTGACTCTCCTCCTTTGTCGGGGAATTATCGACCTCGAGTAACTCCGTAGTTTGTATTTTGTCTTGTACTTCCTACCACCGATGTGGTACAACTTCGAGGATCTGCGCGACTACTTTTTCTCTTTTTAAAACCTTTACGAGTTTCTGTGTTGGATCGAAATAATAGGTACGGGCTGTACGAACTGCTGAAAACTTCCAGAACTTTAACGTTTATCGTAGGTGCAACTTTAATTGAGCGAACAAAGATACTTCTTCGATTTAACGTCGAAACGAGGAGAAAGGAAATAAGAGCTCGATGAGTTTTCTTCTAAGCAAGCATCGTGAGAGCGACATAAACCTTAAATTTCCTAGGTTACGTTTATTCGAACGTAACAGTAAAAATGACAAATCGAATCGGATAAAATTCGTCATTTTGTAGAGAGAAGAAAGCACCCTTCAACGTGTTCTAACAGCTTGTATCGTCTACCCATAATTCAATAACGTCCTGTATGGCGAACGAATGGCAATTTTCGTCGAAAAAGGCATTGTTCGGCTGTCAATTTTACTGCAACCGCGTTGCCTGTTTTTTTTCGGTCTTGGCGGAACACAATGTACACGGAAAGCGTAGCTTGTTCCCACCCGTGATTTCTCACTCGCTATGCAATAAAAGTACGAACAGCCTGTAGCCAAGTTTGAAGTGCGCCTGGGAGACACGTGTTGAATTTTAGGACGTTTGTTGGCCAGATGAACGGCGTTAAAACTGTCGCTTTCAGAATTCCATCAACGTTTCATACGAATCAACGCGCTTCCGCAAAGTCGTGTTCGTGTAAGTATCTCGTTTTATTGGCGACTCGAGATGATTAATCAAAAGAAAAGCTCGTCGAGATATCGAAGATTCGTTTGGAGCGTACTTGCGAGAAATATGAAAAAACAAAACGTCGCCGGAGGAGAAGTTTTAATTAAAAATGTTTAACGGGAGACGAGCTAGAAGTAGCGATCTTAAAAGTCCAAGAAAATCCTCTGAAACGCAACTTTTATTTGCCCGGTCGTTCGTTACCTTGATTATCGTGATATAAATTATGAGCCAGAGAAGAAAAGAAGAAAACTCGGGCACTTGCAATTCTTATCGCGTAATACGTCATTCCACACGGAAGACCAATATAAAAGCACGCGTCGTAAATATGTAAGTTACCGGTACACAAAGAGTTGGATACGCTATAAAAAATGGTATTTCATCGACGGATAGATATGATTGATCGATAAAATCCTGGGTGGTGGGACGACGCGGTGATTTATAAGAAGTTAAGTACCCATCAAAGGGTTCGTGACGGTCACGAGAAGATTGATAATCCGGGGCAAGAAGGAAGCATAAAGATAAATCGCTGATAGCTATAATGACGGCTGGTGGACGCGTCTTGTCGAACGTAAAAATTAAGCGGTCTTTTTTAAACAACTTCTCGTACCATTAACTTGACAGGTAGACCATAAGGAATTCGTATCGTACTATCGCTAGCGTGATACCTCGTATTGTCGCGCTATCGTATAATCGTAAATTATTATATTAATATAAAACTTCCTCCTTTACCAGACTAATTTCCCAGTTACCGGGTGCTATTTTCACCTGCTCGATGTAAACGATAATTCATAAAAGAAAAACGTGAACGATATTCATTAAAATAGCATGTCGCGTTGAAATTTGAGCGAATCCTGCATGCATCCAGTAAAATTCGTGGTAAGTGGGCGAATATTTGTGGGACCCGGTGCAGGTAGTTCCGGCGCCTACGTAGCGCAGAGCAGAGTACACGTCGTTACGCAGACGCATCGAGCGCCTTGCTACCGGCGAGAGGTGCAACCCGTGTAGCCTCGATGAATACCCTCGAATAGCAACGCATTATGTATGTCCGTATAGTAGTTACGTGACTAGGAAACGAAAATAGATGCACCCGCCTATTTTCCGTCACGCTAACTCGTGCACGCGGTCGCGGGATAAATCTCGCTAGTACGTTTCCTCGGCAATGATAATTTCTTAGCCGGAAACAGAGCAAATCGATGAATATAAAATGACGGTGATTAATTTCGCTTCGCTTGACAGTAATATTGCTGCTTCCAACGAGACCTTGGTATTCGTCGAAGAATCGCGAAATCGAGGAACACAGGGAGGAAGAGCTGCCAGACGAGCAAAAGCTCAAAATTAGCGGAAACGTAGAGTCGCGTGAACGCGCGAAAGAGTCGAGAACGACGAAGCGTCGAGAGGCAAGGTGGATGGATCTCGAAACCACCATTAACGAATTTGATTAAACGTCTTCGCTTAAACGTAACTTCTTAAACGTAAAAGACGATTTTCAATTACGAGTATCGCGACGAGCAGGAGGAAATATTCGCCAAGAGGAATTGGTGCTTTCAAAGATGTGTCTCGGAGTATCTTTCTTAACGTCGCTTGCAATTTCTAAGAGTTTTCATATTTTAAAACCTTCGTCCACAGAGCGTATTTTTCCGGGAACCTTTCGAAAGTAAAAGAGCCTTCTCCTGCAGGCTTTCGAGCGTGTCCCGTGCGTCGAAGCGACCAACTGCAGCCGTCGTGGCGTTTCGCCGAAACGTAAACAGCCGAAACGTTTGTCTCCGAAGACTTAGCGGAGAAACGAGAGAAATTATGTAATAACTGTGTTACCACGGAATGCGGGCGACGCGGGTAATTCTACTTGAACGTATAATGATACAAGGGGAAGCCGAGACTCGTCAAACTAAACCGAGGGACTAAAAGGGACTTAACCCTCGAGTGCATAATTCATAACACATTAGAGTCGGCAGGCGGGTCGTACGATCTTGACGCGAGCATTAAGCAGCCTTTACGTAATGTTGTTCGATTAAACAGACATAGGGGAAACGAAATTACACAAAAATTCCGACGTTGTACTCGCTAATTAAAATTTGGTTGTACCGGATTGCCAGACTCCAAATGACCAATTTTGGGGCACAGAAAGTCTGACACGACATCGTTTGTATAAAAAATTGCGTACAGAATTGTTAGCTTTCGTGCAGAACGAAAAAGAACGAAACGATAAAATTAATGGAGAATAAAGAAGAAATATTCGTGACACGCGTTCCACAGAAACGGTCGAAACATCAACGTGCATGCGATGATTACATGCAGCTCCGCTTCGAATATTTCCGTGCAACGCGCGGCCCAATAAAATTGCAAACTGTAATTTCGTTACTCTTTCCAGCTCGCAGCTTTCCGCCGTTTTCTTTTGATCATCCAACGAGGAAAACGAGATTACCGTTTTACATTGTACGCCCTAGCTCGGCTCGAGAGCTCTTCGAAGAAATTTCTCCCTGGTGTCCAAGGAACGAACCCTTCCGTTTAACATCGTAGGATCCATTTTAACTGGCCGCAGACAAATCAGCGTCCCGAGAAATCCACTTGTACGCGCAGCGGTGGCGAGACGGACGAAAGCAGTCGTGAAAAATACGGGCGAAAATCTATCTCGATAAACGAATCGACGTTGTCAGGCGAAAGGGACAGAAAAAGGGAAAGAAAAGAGCCGTAGAACTTCAGTGGCATTATCCTTGCTCGCCGGTCGCGTCCGATAATTACTCGTCTTTCTTCGGGGGGACGGAGCAGAAGGTCAACAGGATGAAATGAAGCGAAATTCTGGCTGGTGGCGTGGCTCGATCAAACGATTAGATCGCGCCGACGACGCAAAGAAGAGGAAAGCTTCGACGAGACGAAGGGTGACGTCCTAGTCGTCTTCTTCTTAGCGAGCGGAGAAAGGGAGTGCAGTGTACACAGTCGAATCGAGAGGAGCGGGGTCGAGTATCGATTAGGTTGGTGTAGGTAGAGCGGAGCCGAAGTCACCAAGATACCAAGAGAAAGAGAGGCGATAGGGAAGGTGGTGGCGGCAGCGGCGG